TACAGGGTGATTATAATTAAAGTTTAAGTTTCAAAACGCTATAAAAAAAGAACCACTGATGAAAATGATGTGAAATTTGAAAGGAATGTTATTGAAGAAGGCGGAAAGCGTATGGCAGAAGAAAAAATTTAGTTTCAAAAGTTAGCAACAGATGGCGCTGTAAGCGCGGCAGAATCACGACGAGAAACGAGAAATGATTCGTAAAACAATGGCTAAGGTGGAAGTTACACATTAAAACGCATTGACAAATTAGAATTGTTGAATAATTTTATTTGCATGACTGTACATATCACATCGAAAGGGACAAATCGGTTTCAAGAGTTTTGCGGCGACATACCGCATAAGAACCATTCATCAAAGAAGTTCGGAACTGTCGCGAGACTGGCGCAAAACATGTTCAATATGGTGTCCACCGTTGTGTGCAACAAGTTGAAAGCGACAAACAGCATGTTCCACAACGGATCGCAGTGTCTCCGGGGTGATGTTCAGAATGTGTTGCGAAATGCGTGCCTTTAATTCCGCTAAATTTGCAATTGGAGCACGGAACACAACATCCTTCAGATATCCCCACAGCCAGAAATCACACGGAGTAAGATCAGGCGATCGGGACGGCCAGGCTGTAGGGAAATGACGGCTGATAATTCGAGCATTTCCGAAATGGCGCCTCAGCAGCTGCTTCACGGGATGTGCAATGTGCGGAGGAGCGCCATCTTGCATAAAAATGATTTCATCCACACATCCACGCTGTTGCAGAGCTGGAATCACGTGGTTGCGCAAAAGAGACGCATACCTCTGACCAGTGACGGTTGCGGTAACAGGACCGGAAGCACCCGTCTGCTCGAAAAAATATGGTTGTAGGATGAATGATGCCGTAAAGCCACACCATACCGTGACCTTTTCAGGATGAAGTGGTACGGGGTGCGTTGCCAGTGGATTTTCTGTTGCCCATATTCGACAATTCTGGGTATTCACGTATCCTGTCAGATGGAAATGGGCTTCATCTGTCCACAAAATTTTCCACGGCCATTCATTATCCACTTCCATGCGAGCCAGGAATTCTAACGCAAACGTCTCCCTAGCTGTCAGGTCAGACGGAAGCAACTCCTGCACATGGCCAATTTTGTACGGATAGCATTGCAGGATGTTTCGTACAATTTTCAGCACCGTGCTCGTAGGCCTGTCCAATGTTCGGGCAATTCCTCGTGCACTGCACGGTTGCACACCACCGGCCGACCCCTCCTGTAATGCTGTGGCCACTTCTTCAACTACCGTCGAATGCACTCGTTTTCTCCCTCTACCAGATTGCACATCAAACGAACCTGTCGTTTCGAATTTTTGCATCATTTTCTTTAGACCTACGACACTCATTGGACCAACGCCTTCTTTTATACCCTTCAGTGTCCTGAATTTTTGCAGAGCTACTCTTGCACAATCATCATTCTTGTAATACAGCTTTACCAGCAGAGCGCGGTCCTGCAGTGAAACACCCATGGCGAACGTCTGAGACGCGAAATGAGGAACAGCCTGGTACCTGGCGGCTTTATAACACTGAAATTTAACTAACATTTTAATTTACGTCTTCTTCCGCTTGCAGCGCCATCTGTTGCTAACTTTTGAAACTAAATTTTTTCTTCTGCCATACGCTTTCCGCCTTCTTCAATAACATTCCTTTCAAATTTGACGTCATTTTCATGAGTGGTTCTTTTTTTATAGCGTTTTGAAACTTAAACTTAATAAATCCCCTGTTATAGAGTTATTCGGGGATTAATCCTTAATATGGCAGATGTAGTTTAGGGAGCCAGAATATAAGCATTAATTTTCTACTTCCGGCCAGATTAAGCTAAACTTTTGCCTTTCTCAATCGGTAATTTACTCCTCCCTCTTCCCTTAAAAAAAAAGGGTTTTGAGACCTTTGGATAGAAGTTTTTCAATGATCTGATCAGAGACTTTCCCTTATTTTCATTTAGACACTATCGTCATAAAATGCGCTTTGTCGGTGAAGAGCTAGTTTGCCTAGTTACAGTACGCGTCGCTGTTAAAAAACTCGAAGATTAATTTTTGCTCAGAAAGTGGTTTTTATTTCTCACTATTCATCTGATATTAAGTAAAACAGAGCAACATTTGTGGATCTGTTTATGCTTTGATTTATCTGTAAATTTTGCAATTGTTTGAAACTGCAATAAAGTTTTTAGCTTTCGTTTTTGACTGGTCTCTTCACTCAAGAGATCTTGAAGAATTAGAAACAATTAGCACATAACACTAAAACAAAAGTGAAGAAAATGAAAATTAAAAAAAAAAATCTTAAAGCTTTCAGATTTTATATTACGCCCAAAAGGGCATTTTTTTAACGTTTTGTGCGTTACCTTATTATTAATATCTGTCTTCGCACTTAAACACAAAAATTCAATACAACAACAATATCACACAAAAACAGCCAAACTGCATATCTTTAGAATTTCTGATACACAGTCTCGCGCGTTGGAGATAAAAATGTTTCTTTTCCGTACATTGCCTGCTTTGAAATCTTTGGGTTTTTTTAAATCAAAGTTAAAGTTTTACAAAATATGAAATACACAACAAAACAAATTCGAAATTCAAAATTCGGGCTTATATGTGTCCATATTCGTGTGGAGGACTACGTTATTCAAAATTGGATGGCTCTAGGTACCGTTGTTTTATCACAATGCAAGAAACATAAGTATGTTAATGCAGATTCTTCATTATTTAATTAATTTAAATATAATATATGCCGATAATATTTGGTGGCAACAGTTTGAAAAGTGAATCAACGCAAAATGCCAAAACGAAATTAATAGCCCTTTGGGCTAATAAAGGAATGAAAAATTGAAATCGCAGGTTATGGGGAAATGGTTTATGTTTACAAATATGGCTCGAGGTTGAAAAGGAATCTATTATTTGGTGCTTATTTCTGTAAAAACAGACTGGTTCCCAGCGATAAAAGTATCATAAGGCAGATAACGGTAGTAAGACCAAAACGGTTTGGACCCCATCGGAAAATTTTGAGGACGCTGGACAGAAATACGAAGTTATGTGTTAAAAAGAAGGATAAAAATATTTTTTTTTTTTTTGCAATATTTGGAGATATACTTTCTTTAATTACGTAACTTTGTGAAATCTTAAAAGCACTGGGTCTCACTGTTTTGCATCATTTGTTTCAATTATTTACTCGAATATACGTCTAGAAGACTGTAACGATTTATTGCCTTTTAAATAACATTCTTTTGATCAAAACAAATATTCTTAAAAGCTTGAAAAGATATGTGCATTTTCGACAATCTTTATATTGAGTCCTCTTCCCTAGAGATATAAAAAATTAAATATTTCATAGTCTCTTTAAGCGCAGAATATTTTTAATGCTACTACGAAAGGCGCTATCTTTAGTAAAGAATTGTGAGAATATTGAGAATTTTTTCAGAAATGAAGCTTTGTGGAATAATAAAAGGAAAAATGTAGAAAGAATATGTAAGGCTATTTTTAGTCTGTTTGGTACTTGTCTGTTCTTGGATGGCAGCACAATGTCTTCAAAAGAGCTTTTTCATATTTCATTACATGATGTATATCTATGTTCGAGGAGTGCCTATATTCGCTTAAACTACAAAATAGGAAAACTTATTTTTAGTCTATATATCCCTTTCTATTTCATGTAAAAATTCTTATTTGTTGTTTTCGAATAATACAGATATTTAAGTGTTATCTAAGTTTAAAACACGTTTGTGTTTTGAAGTTAAACTCCACCTGAATAAAAAACGGACAAGTACTTATTAGAAAAGAATCTATCCAGTATCGTCTGGCGCTGATGTTTGCTGCGTGTTAACGCAACTCTGTGAAAAGAAAATTTATTGTTCAATTTAAATATAAATGTTCGAAAGATAATCTCTTTAAAACGCGTACAGAGCTCGAGAAAAGAAATATAGTATCGATTTTATTTTCGATTTATGGTTAAACACCAACTCAGAAATATTAACTGCAAGATTATTCAAGGAATGCGTTTCCTTAGAACATGAATTATGTAGAAAAATGGAAGAACTTTTGGAGTACAATTTTTTAAACGTGAAGCATTTTTACGAAATTTATTATAAGCGCTGCATAGCTTTCATAGTTATGGAAGTTTTCAAATTATTATTTCGCAAGAACATAAAGAACAAAAATTTTCCTTACCATCTTTAACGAAAACTTGAATTTCACATATCTGAAGAACGCTGCGTTTACCTGCTTTATTTTCAATTCTGATCCTGTCGGTCAAATTTACATTATCCAAGCAATGCAGCGTTATCCACTGATCACTTTCTGTAGCATCAGGAATAAAGAAATAAATTATTATACTAACACAATGTAATTTTTTATGCTTTCATTTAATGTTATGTAATAAAATATAACTAAGATAAACAATCCTTTTCAGTTTAATTGAAGAATTAAAAGAAAATTATTTTTAACAATCTGACGTGGACATTTCTGTGTGGCTTATTAAATTATACACATTTTCTTGCTGTATTTCCTTTAGACATATTTCCTCGAATTTCATTAGAGATATGTTTCTCTTTCAATTAATTGAGTTCTCACTTTGCGGTGAAGCAAAAATACATAAAAACTCAAAACAGCTTCATTAAAAATTGTAAAAAACAGAAAAATAAATAAGTAAATAAAACACCAAATACAGTTAAAACAGTTAAAAAAAATACAATTAAAAGTAAGTTTCTATGCAAAAACAAGCAATTCGGCGAGCGGGCAAAAAGATAGATTTTTCGGTGCACAAAACTGAAAGTTTACTTTTGGTCCCACTCGCAAAAAAAAAAAGGCATTGAATGTACAGAAACTGACGTAATTCATTATTCCACTGTGTTTCAAATGTAAACAAATGGCGGTTCGTTAGGCTTAACTCGCCACTTAAGTTTTAAATTGTTGATAATTCTACAACTATTGCATGCAGATTAACCAAAGGCATAAACACCTTAACCGAAACATAAAAACTATATAATTCAATCACTTTTAAGCAAAAAATACACAATTTACCAACACATAATAAAAAACTAAGTTTATCGAGTCAGGTAACAGAGTGGCAACACATACATATATATTTATACGATTGGTGCAGCCGATTGCAACAGTGCGGGGAGGTGCACAACTGCATGTTATAGCAGTCCTATATACAAAATATCAACATTTTAGAGGTATTCGTTCTTGTGTTATGCGAGATACATACATACACATATACGTACGTACAGATGTCAAGAAAAAATATCTTCTGAATCTATTTTAGAATCCGTTTTGGCCAAAACTGTCCTTTATTCTCACCGTACGTACATATGTCATGCAAAATCACCGTTCATATGATTTCGAGATCGGTTGAAATGGATATTTTCGTTGAAATTTATGATACCCGAATTTTTTTACAATTACAATACTTCCTTTACTTCGTACATGGAAGTGAAAAGTCAAAATTAAAAAGATAATGTAAGAAAATTAGATTTAAGAAATAAAATATATTTTCTGTGGTCTAAAATTTGGTATGAGTTTCTAAGTATTTAAAGAAAAGATGCGTCTCAAAGCTAAAATATTTGACCGATTTTTTTCGAAAACTGAAGTTTCCCTAAGGCTACGAATTTGCAGTCTGCTTTTACATATTGTTGCATTCTACGGGTTCGCGGATTTGGAGTAATCGATGATAAAGAATCAAAACACAATTTATTCGTCATCATCGAAAAACTACGATAAACACGCTGAAACAATCAGCAATACAGCCTTCAGGCTGCCAGGCTATAACAATGAAGACAGCTTGACGTCAAGCACTAAAATACAGCTTCCGACTCGGTCGATCGCTCTGAAGCTAATCTCTGAACTTAAAGGACTACTACTGAACTCAACACACTCCCAGATACTCTCCACGATAAAACGCCTACTCCTCGTACAGGCAGGATTTATATAGCTTTTGACCTGCCTTCGAGAACATTCTGGGGAAAACCGGTAAGAATTCGTTATATAATGTTCTTGCTCCGTCTATGGTATATCACCAATTTTAACGCCAAGTGAGCAGAGCCCACCAGCGACCGAGCGGTAAAGACGCTGAACACTGGTAGTTTGGTCCGAGGTTCGAATCCCGCGAACAGGCTGGCTGTATGGACTTTTTCGTGGTTTTCCCCATATGTAACGTGTATACGAGCCAGTTTCTTTTAGAAGGTCCTCCACGAAGGCATCCCTTCCTTTAGGCAGATAGCCCTCGTGTGTTTTGCCATAATTAAATAATCCAATCCGCCAAGTGAGCGATAAAATGGAAAAGAAAGGCAAGATTGCTATATATAGCAACCCTGCATTTTATGGCAACCATAAACTCGCTTTTCATGATAGCTGTTTTACCGCTGTTGGGCATTTCGCAACAATATTTTAGATTCAGTGAAAGAATAAAGAAGTTTTTTCTTGTAGAGGTTTGGCTTTCTTGTAGAGGTTTCTAATATTATTCTTGACGAATACAAATACAAAAAGACATTAATTATATTTTTTATATTTAAAACATCTTTGAAGCATCGAAAAATTCAGTTACATTTGTATTTTCTGAAATTTTTGTTAAATATATAAAGAAGATGCGTGTGACTGAATTCGCTTGTAAGTAGCAAAGTTACATTGTTTTTAATTTCCACATAAAAAAAGTGAAGAATACAAAAGCTGGTTTAAGTGATGTTTAAGAATAACTTTTGTGAAAAAACAAACAAACAAACAATTTTACTAAACATAAAGCTGGATTTAGTGATAATTGTTTTTAAAGAAAAGTAAATTACTGCTTTTGCTTTCAGAGTCATTGTTTATGCGATTATTCTTATGCAAATAAAGTGAACAACTGGAGTTAGATTAATTAACGTAAATTGTTTAATTGGAGGGAAATATATTTCGTATCTTTTATAACAATTTGCAATGAAAATCGCAAACAATTAGTATTTGATTCTGTATAGTTATCAGGTTCAATGTTTCTTCTAACCTTCTTCGGAAACATACAATGACCTGACTAGGAACAGAGAGCTTACTAAAGCTATGTTCACTAATTGTAGTAAGTAGACAGGATACAGACGAAGGGTATACAAGACCCTTTATTTTTCTTTATATACAATGACTTCCGTACTTCGGAATACAATGACCCTCCACTCGGGGTCTAACGTAAAAGATATCAAAATAAAACTAAACTCTAATTTAACTTTAGAATAAGATTGGCCTTATAATAACAGGAAGCGTATGTAGCACAGAGACTGTGAACACTACAATACGTTTAATTTATCAAGAGGATTAAAACCTCTGGCCTGGAAGGCAAATAGCAACTGCGTAACTTCTAAGGTAAGCGGCCTGCTTCGAACTCACTGCTTCCTCTCTCCTACTTGGCAAAAAGGCCACACTTAAATACTTGGCGTTCGCCAGACAACTTTGCATAAAATCCTTCACGCTTATAATTCTGGCCGGAAGTAGAAAATAAGAAGTGATAGTAAAGATTTAAAATAAAATAAACGTTAGTAAAACTTAAGATCCTTACATACTTCCCGCCAGAGTTAATTAGTTTGAAACTGAGGTCTAAAACGACCTTGTTGAAAACTTTTAGCTCTAAAACTAACGCGAGGCCAAACCTTTTACAATCATAACTTAGCTAGAAACTAGAAAATTTAAAGAAAGAAATTTGTTACAATAGCAGCTCCCCGGGATATACAACAATCTTTTTTTTTTTTTTTTTTCATCTGTACTGCATCTAAAACAGGAGCTTTATTCAATTCTGGTTCCTTCCAGAGATCTGGAAGGAAAACTAGTTTAATGAAATGTTACAGAATGACATTGCAATAACATATAGAATATACTTCTCTTAACATTCTTATTTCATTCATGACTATTTTAATTATCTCTCCCCGTGCTCTCTGACATGTGTTGTAAAAGAACACCAAACACGTATGTGTTTCTGTCTACGTGTGCCACACTTCCTCCTACAATCAAAACACTAACGTGTTAAAATTCAACATACGAGACCTCTTAACACACCCTAACTTTCAACTCTAAACCCTGAGGTACTATTCTGAAAGTGGCTAACTCTAAAGTGTAGCGTCAGAGAGCCTAACTACATCATTCAACCTTTAACACATATTCACCATGATTTAATCTTTACAGTCACACGAATAACAAATTTTTAACATTACTTTCACTTTTACCATATCACGGTATTTCTTAACATTCAAAATAACAGTTCACATGTATACAAGAACATATCAACATGCCGTTAATTTTACACATTTGAAAACATACATTAGTAGTACATTGTTAACTTCTATTCTTTTCAAAGCAAGTGCCAATTCTTTCTACATTGAAATAATACTACATTTCAAAAAGTCTTTCAGACTAAAACTTCTTTCTTGCTAGAATGTTTTAAATAAAATTTATACAATAACTTTTTACAATATTTAAGTCTTTTTTACACAACGCTATTATACATCAACTTTAGTTTTACGCGCGAGTAATTGAAAAACATAATAAGAAAATCGGTCACAACTCATTTCTCGCCCTTTTGGCGATAAAGGTAGACCTCGCATGAGGTAAAACTTCTTGAAATCTGCCACTTGCAGTAAGAATGAAAGATTAACTTAAGTTTGTAAAGTAACATAAAATTTTACTTATCTTTGTAATATTCAGACATCCTTTTCTGGGCCCAGTCTTTAAAGGTATAGCTGATAGTAGCTTGGTTGATCCTCCTTCTTGTACGGGCTCGCCCTTCAGTGCTTTCCTCTGGAAGCTTCCGTTTTTCACCAGTTCGGCCACCCTTGAACACCTTCCTTTTCTCCTCTGCTTGTGGTCTTGGCCGTTTGAAGGCAGCTGGTCTTGGTGGAACCGGGAAACTTCTGTCGTGATCCTGCTTGGACCTCGTTGTTGGCCGTTCAAATTTTTCTTGTACTTTTTCCTCCGCCGCTGATGGCCCTTCCGCAGTTCGGCGACTTTTGCTGCGGAGAGTTCTGTCGGATGAGTCAATCTTCCGTTTCACAGCCGGGTTATAGTTGCCGTCCTTTCTCTCTCCGGTCCTTTCCACATACGTCGTCCTCTCCCCTTCTTCATTCTGGGGGTGTTCGTGAACTCTGTTTTCTGGACGGTGGAACGGCTTCTTTTTCTTTCTTTTTACCTTCAATTTTTTCCGCGGGGCAATTTTCTTTTCACTTGCTTCTGTCTCTCATTGGCTTGCCCTTGTACTTGTCGTTTTCCCACCTCTGGAACTTGTACCTGCGGTGTCTGCCGTACCGGATCCTGCAAAAGATCTGAAAAGATTTTGCATTTTATTA